ATATGTGTTTTCAAACTTTCAGTTTAATTTTAAAGTGCAAANCCCCCCTGCACGACTTCACACTGTTCATAGGTACAGTGTTGAAGTCGTGCATCCCAAAAACGACTTCTGGATCCTGTAATCGATTACATTGATTTGGTAATCGATTACAGAGTGTTGAAACTTTCTGAAAAAATCGCGCGCCCTGCGCCCCTTTGTTGCGTCCGAGCGCGGACGATCTGTATGTGGACGAGCGTTCACTGAAAATGGACGAGCGTCCACTTCTCCTGCCGAGCGTCCACTTAGCGCATCTCGACGAGCGTCCTCTTAGCTAGATGGACGAACGTCCTCTTAGCTTTCTGGACGAGCGTTCTCTCTGCCTGGCTGGACGAGCGTCCTCTTCTGCCTGGGTGGACGAGCGTCCTCTTCTGCCTGGACGAGCGTCCGCTTCTGCCTTGCACCAAAACAACCTGGTAATCGATTACACATGTTTTGTAATCGATTACCAGTGCTTTTGGTGGCATACAAATTTGAAGTCGTGCAGGGTGGTCATGATTTCAACATTCTGTAATCGATTACCATTACATTGTAATCGATTACAAAGTCTTGAAGTCGTTTTTGGGGTGCACGACTTCAACACTGTTGCTATGAACAGTGTGAAGTCGTGCAGGAGGGGCACGACTTCTTCATTTGAAGTCGTTTGGGCCCCCCACGACTTCCCCATTTTCGTAAATTTGGTTGAATTTGCCCATTTTGGTAATATTATAGGCAAATATGCCTAGTTTGGTGCAAAACCCGGCCCATATCAGTATCTCACGTCTTGGAGGGACAAAAATGATCCAGCTGAAGGTGAGTTTTCTTTTATGATCGATACAAAGGGCTATCCTCAACAAGTTACTACAAACGGAACTAAAATTTTTTACAGCACAGGGCCTTGGAATGGCTATATTTTCAGTGGTGTTTCTTCGGACAGAATGTTCAGATTCTTGAATTTCTCTCTTGAGTTCACTAACAAAGGTGTTTCTTATGGATATGAAACGTTAGACAGTTCAATGCTTAGTAGAACAATGCTTAAGCTCAATCCAGGAGGGGCTACAGAGCGTGTTCTATGGTCAAAAGAAAGACAAAGTTGGGATACTGTATACAGTTATCCACTAGATCAGTGTGAATATTTTTCCACTTGTGATGTCAACTCTATCTGCAATGTTAATAATGTTCCAATATGTGAATGGTTGCAAGGATTCACACCAAAGTTTCAAGCAAAGTGGGATTCTCATGATTGGTCTGGTGGTTGTGTCAGAAGAACAAATTTAAGTTGTGATTATGGAGATTGGTTTAAGAAGTACACAGGAATAAAGCTTCCTGAAACGTCTTCTTCCTGGTTTAACAGGAGCTTGAGCCTTAAGGAATGTAAGACACTGTGTTTGAGAAATTGCTCTTGTACTGCGTATGCAAATTCAGATATCAGAGATGGTGGGAGTGGTTGTTTGCTTTGGTTCCATGACATTGCGGACATGAGAAAACACCCTGATCGAGGGCAAGAAATTCATATACGACTGTCATTCTCTGAACGTGGTAATTTCATTCCAATTCCCTCTTATGCCTTTTTGTCAGGTTTAGATGAAATATAATTTATGATAAGTTGGAATTAATAGAAAAAAAAGGAATAAAATGGAATTTTACTTGGTTCCATCAAAGAATGCATTCTGTTGCATTGCATTCAAAACATTTAAACCATTGCATTCCATCAAATTTGTAAATTATATTAGACAAGTAACAAGATGAAATTATAATAATACTAGATTCTGCTTACCATCAACAAGCATATATGGCCAATAGTAATGTGTCAGAGGTTGGAACTAGCGGTTACAAATCAGCTTCCAAGTTGAAGTTGTGCTGTATAACATGCCTTTCTCCTTTTTTGTTTTGCCCCGAATTGTAAGCTTAGAGCTACTTGTGGATTGACACTAATTTCATTCCTCAGATCCAAGAAGTTATAAGAAGAGACTTGCGAGGATTGTGGTAGGACTTGTTTCATTCATAGTTGTACTAACAATTCTTGTGTGGGCGACTTCAAAACGTATGAAAGGGATGAAGCAACCCAAGCCAGGTGAAGAATTTATAATTTATGAAGTATTTTACATTTCAATGAAAAGAAGAATAATATTGAAATCAAAGATTATTTTTCAAGTTTATTATTTATCTGGTTAACATTAGCACAAATATAATATTATTTATAAGCAATTCATGTCTCTGCTACATTGGCAGTAGTGAAAAAAGCTATTCCCTGGAAGCACATGATGGAGAAGGAAAACAGCAGCTTGCCGAAAATGTTTGATTTTTCAACCATTGATATTGCCACAAATCATTTTTCTAACACAAACAAGTTAGGAGAAGGTGGTTTTGGAACAGTACACCAGGTAGGTGGTCAAATTTGTTCTTGGTTAGCAAGTTATTCGTACTGATTGTGAAGTACCAAAATTCTCAAAATCATTACTAGGGAAAGTTGATAGATGGACAAGAGATTGCAGTCAAGAGACTTTCAAAAACTTCGAGACAGGGAACTGAGGAGTTTAAAAATGAAGTAAAGTTGATGGCAACACTTCAACACCGTAATCTTGTAAAACTTCTTGGTTGTTCTATTCAACAAGACGAGAAGTTGTTGATATATGAATTCATGCCCAACAGAAGTTTGGATTACTTTATTTTTGGTTTCTTCTTTCACTCCCATCAAATTTTTTGCTTTGATTTTTCTCTTGCCTTCGTGTTATTTCCATGCTAACTTGACAAAACGAATGTTGCCAGATACAATGCGAGGCAAATTACTAGATTGGGCTAAGCGGTTGAAAATTATCGAGGGAATAGCTAGGGGTCTTATGTATCTTCATCAAGATTCCAGACTTAGAATAATACATAGAGACATCAAAACAAGTAACATTCTTCTTGATGACAATATGACTCCAAAAATATCAGATTTTGGATTAGCAAGAATATTTGGAATAGATCAAGCTGAAGCAAATACAAGCAGAGTGATGGGAACGCAGTAAGAAACTTAATTTTTGTTTAACAAAGCTATACACAACCACTTCTCCTTACTTTGATACTGTTTTGCAGTGGCTATATGCCTCCAGAATATGCAGTGCATGGTTCTTTCTCAACCAAATCTGATGTTTTCAGTTTTGGTGTAATTGTTATTGAGATGATTAGTGGAAGGAAGAATCGTGGATTTCATGACCCTCACCATCATCTTCTCAACCTTCTTGGCCATGTAAGCTTGAAGTGGTTTCTTGATAACTTGGTTTCCTTATATCATTTGTTTGTCTAAGTCAAACCTGAAGAATTATGAAACTTAAAATGAAAACTAATTCGTGCATATACTCAATGTAATTGAACTATAGTTGAAAGTAAACTCCACACCAACACTCGTACCCTCCCAAATAATCATCTAAAAGGTTTTGAACACATCATAGGAACATGAAAGTTTGCTTTTAGTTTTATCATCCATTGAAACTCCTGTATGTTTGAATAGAAATTTTGAGTAGGGAATGAACTCTCACTCTTGATATTCCTATTTGTCATATCAGGCGTGGAGATTATGGAATGAAGAAAGGCCACTGGAGTTAATGGATGAGATATTAGATGATGGTGGAGACTTATGTTTAGAAATACTGCGGTGCATTCATGTGGGTCTGTTGTGTGTACAACAGAATCCAGAAAATAGGCCTAACATGTCATCTGTTGTTTTGATGTTAAATGGTGAGAAGTTGCTACCAAAACCAAGCGAACCTGGCTTCTATATAGGAAAAGATAATATTGCTGACACTGAATCTTCAAAGCAATATGAAAAGTGTTCAGTAAATGAAGTTTCAATTTCATCCTTAGAGGTGCGATAGAACATATTTCAAGTAATGATATAGTTATGTAAATGAAATGCTGTTCAAATATGTTGAAACTTGTGTATATTGTATATGTGTTTTCAAACTTTCAGTTTAATTTTAAAGTGCAAAACTTTTTACTCTGTCATCACCAAGATCGTTTACAATCTCGACAAATTTCAACAAGTTGTATTATATATTACTTTCCCTTTCACTGTGACCTTGAGGAAAGTACATCACAAGGAGACGAGCCCTTGTGTGCCAATATTCTACATGTAGAACACAGTTTGTGCTTGCAAAATCCATCCCCTAATGTCATCAATACGAAATAGAAAAGGTTCACATCTGTCTTGAAGCAACATTTTCTCTTTCCATATCATTCTCTAAAACTTTAGAGTGGCACTTACTTACAACATGTATTGATTATAGGAGAAAGACTAAATGGAGAGAGCCAGCCAGATATATACAGAGTGAAAAAGAATCTTTCAGTGAAGATGAAATCGGACAAAATATGTTCACTTTGCAATATATCGATGAACTGTCTGTAAGCTTAACAATGCATTAACAATTTGAAAATTTTCTTATTTACTGGTATACAAAAGAAGCATGTGAAGAAGGGCACGGGGAAAACAAAAAGAGGGGGAAGTGTTGGTTTCTACTAAAAATATATCCCTTATTTAGAACTTGCAAATACATGAGTACACAAACACAACACTCTTAGACTCTCAAAGATACACTCCTTCAAACACCCAATACACAACACAGGCCCTCCGTAATTTTTCTCTCTTCACGGTGGTGCACACTACACCAATTTTCCCGTGGTTCTCCCTCTCTTCCCACACACTCACACAGCTTTCTTTCTCTACTGCACCTTTGCTCATTTCTTTCTCGGTGGTGGTGGTTTTTCTTTACACATCTTGCTCTCCTTTTATAACCAATAAAAGAACTAAACTCCAAGAAACATTGGTGCAGAGTTTCGGTACTTCAGCAGACAAAGGGAAGACACTTTCCTCAAAGTCCTTGGAAGATACAAACTTTAGGCAACTTTCCACAAAAGGTGGGGGACATTCGTTTCCTTTTTCAACAAGTGGCCGTATCCCATTTACGTTTATCCAAGTTTCTGACAACTTATCCTTTATAGTCTCAAGAAAAAACTCATCCAAAAAATCTGGAGCAGGGCATGTCAATCCCGAGCTTGGGTCCGAAGAGTCCACATCAACAATAATGATATCAACTTTTGTAAGTTCTGCACCAGCATGAGACACAGTAGAACTTTCATTAAAGGAGACTCTGTGTAACTACAGTCATTACTTTTTCCATGAATTTGAGCCACTCCCGAATTGTCAATCTCTTGTACAAATTGGATCCCATCAGCTATGTGCACCTTTAGTCGTTCATCCTCCATAAAACTGAAGTAGTCCTTTGCAATATCAACAATCACGGGGTCTAACTCCACAGTCTCGATCTCTAAAAAGGGGACACAGCCATGAAGAAACATGGGAAGTAAACCTGCTCCAAGACCTATTATTACTGCTTTTACCATTTTCCCACTTGATGCCACACTTTCCATATAAGAAGATATCAACATGATGTAGTAAAAATAATGACCAATACTCAAACCGTGATTTCCTGAGGTGTGTAGATCACTGTTCTTAAAGACTTATCTTCGGTGTATTATGCAAGTTCCTAGGATACAACAGGAACTTCCCAGGATATATCTGAGGATCTCAGAAGATCTCTAAAAAGACTATAAAATAAACCCAGAATAATTTTAGAAGTGGAAAAGAAGAAAGGAGAAGGAGAAAAGACGGCTTTTGGTGTGTTTTTGGAATGGGAAAAAGCTCTCTATTTATATAGATAGGAAAGAATAAAATCAATAAAAGACAATAAAAGCCATTAAATATTTTACCGTTGGGGCACTTAATAAAATGAATTTAAAACATTATTGGCAATTAAAGTTTTGAACGTTGCAATCCAACGTTTTTCTTTTTGCAATAATCTAACATTATTACAACAATCCCCCACTTATTGCAAAAGAAAAAGACAAGAAACTTTTATTCTGGGTCTCATAGGATGTAGTGCATCAGACCTGGTATAGCAAGCTATATAAACCAGTCTTAGATTGAAATACTTAACACACAGTGTAGTTGGTATAGCAAGCTATACGAACCAAAGACACTTGACGTGTGTTAGAGGTTTATCAATCACAATACACCCCCACAATCCTTGCTGTTATCGCTGTGTTGCGCTTAATAGGCCATGCTCGTGCCCGATATTCATGAGTGCTCTAGAGATCATGCCAAGATCTCATGCAAGCGGCCCCACTCGACACTCATATAGGTGATTTCATCAAGTGTATGCTGCAAATCATACACCACCCGTAAGGGATATGAAGATCATTAAAAACTTTGTTTAAGTTAAAATTCTTTCACCACATAGAATTTTAACGACAAAGTTTAACCTCTCAACATTGCAGTCTCTAGCACTTTCACACACATCATAGGAAGGGACATAATTGATTAAAATCAATTTAGTGCTATCAGAACTAACAAGTGACTTGTTTTTACCCATATGAACCTTATTCATGGGATCTCCAATCACAAAGGTTGGGTTACCATCACTTGTTTGTTTGCCAGTGGCTTAAGTCTCATTCCCCTCGATGTTTCTAATATCATTTGTCTTCCTAGGGGTTTTGTCAGAGGATCCGCTAGATTTTGTTCTAACTTCACATAGTCAATGGAAATAGTTCCACTCTTTAGCAGCTGTTTCACCAAATTATGTCTCTATTCTTTCCATTGTAATTCTTGTTTTTAGCTATAACTATTGTCGATTAGCAATCACAGTGTATTGACACCAATGACGTTGGTTTTATTCCTAGTGGAATGTTTGCTAAGAAGTTTTTCAACCACTCAGCCTCACTATCAGCCATCTCAAGAGCGACAAACTCATATTCCATTGTTGATCTTAATTGTTTGTCTGGCTAATCTCCATGTAATCGCACCACCCTAAGTGTGAATACATAACCACTAGTGGATTTTGTCTCATCTGAATCAGATATCCAGTTAGCATCATTGTACCCTTCTAGTACAGTGGGAAATCCACTATATTCAATGACATAATCCATTAAACCTCTTAAGTATCTCATAATCCTGGAAAGTGCATCCCAATGTTCTTGATTTGGACATTGAGTGTACCTACTCAGTCTACGTACTGCATAAACAATATCAGGTCTAGAAAAGCTCATCAAGTGCAGTAAGCTCCCAATTATCTGGGTATACTGAGGCTGAGATAATGATTCTGCTCTATTTTTCATTAATTTAGATTTAGCATCATAAGGGATACTAACTTGTTTTAGGTCATAAAACCCAAACTTTTTAAGAAGTTTCTCAACGTATTGTTCTTGTGATAGTAATATATTATCTCTCATCCTTATGATTCTAATACCTAAAATCACATTGGCTTCACTTATGTCTTTCATGTCAAAGTTTGATCCTAGAAACAATTTAGTTCTAGCAACAATCTCATTGCGTGTACCAAAATTTAGCACGTCATCCACATACAAACAATGACACAATTACCATTTTCAAATTTAATACTATCAATATTATTAAGTGAAAAACCAAAATTTATTTTTTCAGAGTAATTAAGTAAAATTACCTACACCCCCACAATTTTAAAATATTTAAGATTGGTAAACGAGAAAATACCCGGTTGTGTTTTTCTCTTTGTAGGTAAAATATACGAAAATTTACTCAAATACCTCATCTTCTTCGTCCTCATCCGCAATCCTTACAAATTCGATCAAAAGCCATTGTTGTTGCGAGGAGCTTGGCAACCTCCGAGTTATGGGTTTTGCAAACATTGTCTGAGTTCTTTTTTACTTTTCACAGTAACGAGATTGAAATATAAATATAAGTCCTTAAGATTGTTGTAAAAAATGATGACCAATACTCAAACCATAATTTCCTGAGGCGTGCAGATCACTGTCTTTAAAGACTTATCTACGGTGTATTGTGCAAGTCCCCAGGATACAACAGGAACTTCCTAGAATATATCTGAAGATCTCTAAAAGGAGTATAAAATAAACCCACAATAATTTTAGAAGGGTAAGAGATAAGGAAGAATAAAATCAATAAAAAACAATAAAAGTCATTAAATATTTTACCGTTGGGACACTTAATAAAATAAATTTAAAACGTGCTTTTGAACGTTTCAATCCAACGTTTTTCCTTTTTCAATAATCTAACATTATTACATGAATCCAGAAATAATTCCTGTATGATAAGAACTAGCTACATAGCCATGACAGACTGTCAACTGGTTACTTGCTCCAGCATTGTGTCTCTGAGATCCACTTTTTCTGGATTTGGAAGATGCATTCTTTTTCTTCCTCTCCATCTCACTAACCAATTTTGTAGGAATATAGAAATATGAGACCAATTTTGTAGTATCCGGGAAATATACTCTATTATAAATTTTTCTGGAAAACTATCTAGAACACACAAATACAAAGACAAAACTTTAAACTCTTAAACTTACACAACATACAACTCACAAACTACAACCCATTTTCTCTCTTTCTCTCACAAAACACCATATGACTTTGGTGGCTTCTCCTTCTCTCTGTTTTTTCTCTCACAATACCGTGAGACTTCCCTCTCTCTATTCCACCACCGTGCACACACTTACAAGTGTGCCACACTTTCCTTCATATTTTCTTTCTTCTCCGTGGTGGGTGTGTAACCCTTTGCTTTCTCTTTTATTTATAACAAACTCCATCCATCTTACACGGTAAAGACTTGCAACGTACAAAAGCTGCTGCCTTGCATGACTTTGCACATCCAAACAAACTGCTTTTCCACTTTTGCAATTATTAAAAAAAGGAAAATGATACTTGAAGAACCATTTTTGACAACATTTAGACACGCGCACACGTGTCAAAATCTGAGTGGTCCATTTTCATTTAATTTTTCCAACTGGACCACTCAGATTTTGATACGTGTGCGCGTGTCTAAATGTTGTCAAAAATGGTTGTTCAAGTGTCATTTTCCTTAAAAAAAACATGTGGGACCCATTAAAATTTATCTAACAGGAAGAAGAGATCCTTGAAACAATCAGTATGAATGAATTTCTTATAAGTAAGAATGGGTATGAAAAAACATTGAATTTTCAAGTATAGATATTGACGTAACAATTTGACATGATAAAGAGAAGCAAGCAAAATGAAAGAATGAGTAAGAAAAATGGCGAATACAAAGGTGTTGTTGGCGTTGCAGATGAGGCAGGATCAGAGGGTGACGCTGCGAAGAACAACGGTCTCACCAGTGGTGGCAAGTCCGTTCTGTGTTGAGTTCTTCCTGATGTGGTCCAAGATGAACACTGTATATAGTAAGTGTGTAATACTATTTCTTTTAGTAGCCTGCTTTATATAGTAAGTGTGTAATATACGTATATTATGGTAATAAAGCTTAAATTTTCTTACGTAGATGAAANACCGTTGGGGCACTTAATAAAATGAATTTAAAACATTATTGGCAATTAAAGTTTTGAACGTTGCAATCCAACGTTTTTCTTTTTGCAATAATCTAACATTATTACAACAATCCCCCACTTATTGCAAAAGAAAAAGACAAGAAACTTTTATTCTGGGTCTCATAGGATGTAGTGCATCAGACCTGGTATAGCAAGCTATATAAACCAGTCTTAGATTGAAATACTTAACACACAGTGTAGTTGGTATAGCAAGCTATACGAACCAAAGACACTTGACGTGTGTTAGAGGTTTATCAATCACAATACACCCCCACAATCCTTGCTGTTATCGCTGTGTTGCGCTTAATAGGCCATGCTCGTGCCCGATATTCATGAGTGCTCTAGAGATCATGCCAAGATCTCATGCAAGCGGCCCCACTCGACACTCATATAGGTGATTTCATCAAGTGTATGCTGCAAATCATACACCACCCGTAAGGGATATGAAGATCATTAAAAACTTTGTTTAAGTTAAAATTCTTTCACCACATAGAATTTTAACGACAAAGTTTAACCTCTCAACATTGCAGTCTCTAGCACTTTCACACACATCATAGGAAGGGACATAATTGATTAAAATCAATTTAGTGCTATCAGAACTAACAAGTGACTTGTTTTTACCCATATGAATCTTATTCATGGGATCTCCAATCACAAAGGTTGGGTTACCATCACTTGTTTGTTTGCCAGTGGCTTAAGTCTCATTCCCCTCGATGTTTCTAATATCATTTGTCTTCCTAGGGGTTTTGTCAGAGGATCCGCTAGATTTTGTTCTAACTTCACATAGTCAATGGAAATAGTTCCACTCTTTAGCAGCTGTTTCACCAAATTATGTCTCTACTCTTTCCATTGTAATTCTTGTTTTTAGCTATAACTATTGTCGATTAGCAATCACAGTGTATTGACACCAATGACGTTGGTTTTATTCCTAGTGGAATGTTTGCTAAGAAGTTTTTCAACCACTCAGCCTCACTATCAGCCATCTCAAGAGCGACAAACTCATATTCCATTGTTGATCTTAATTGTTTGTCTGGCTAATCTCCATGTAATCGCACCACCCTAAGTGTGAATACATAACCACTAGTGGATTTTGTCTCATCTGAATCAGATATCCAGTTAGCATCATTGTACCCTTCTAGTACAGTGGGAAATCCACTATATTCAATGACATAATCCATTAAACCTCTTAAGTATCTCATAATCCTGGAAAGTGCATCCCAATGTTCTTGATTTGGACATTGAGTGTACCTACTCAGTCTACGTACTGCATAAACAATATCAGGTCTAGAAAAGCTCATCAAGTGCAGTAAGCTCCCAATTATCTGGGTATACTGAGGCTGAGATAATGATTCTGTTCTATTTTTCATTAATTTAGATTTAGCATCATAAGGGATACTAACTTGTTTTAGGTCATAAAACCCAAACTTTTTAAGAAGTTTCTCAACGTATTGTTCTTGTGATAGTAATATATTATCTCTCATCCTTATGATTCTAATACCTAAAATCACATTGGCTTCACTTATGTCTTTCATGTCAAAGTTTGATCCTAGAAACAATTTAGTTCTAGCAACAATCTCATTGCGTGTACCAAAATTTAGCACGTCATCCACATACAAACAATGACACAATTACCATTTTCAAATTTAATACTATCAATATTATTAAGTGAAAAACCAAAATTTATTTTTTCAGAGTAATTAAGTAAAATTACCTACACCCCCACAATTTTAAAATATTTAAGATTGGTAAACGAGAAAATACCCGGTTGTGTTTTTCTCTTTGTAGGTAAAATATACGAAAATTTACTCAAATACCTCATCTTCTTCGTCCTCATCCGCAATCCTTACAAATTCGATCAAAAGCCATTGTTGTTGCGAGGAGCTTGGCAACCTCCGAGTTATGGGTTTTGCAAACATTGTCTGAGTTCTTTTTTACTTTTCACAGTAACGAGATTGAAATATAAATATAAGTCCTTAAGATTGTTGTAAAAAATGATGACCAATACTCAAACCATAATTTCCTGAGGCGTGCAGATCACTGTCTTTAAAGACTTATCTACGGTGTATTGTGCAAGTCCCCAGGATACAACAGGAACTTCCTAGAATATATCTGAAGATCTCTAAAAGGAGTATAAAATAAACCCACAATAATTTTAGAAGGGTAAGAGATAAGGAAGAATAAAATCAATAAAAAACAATAAAAGTCATTAAATATTTTACCGTTGGGACACTTAATAAAATAAATTTAAAACGTGCTTTTGAACGTTTCAATCCAACGTTTTTCCTTTTTCAATAATCTAACATTATTACATGAATCCAGAAATAATTCCTGTATGATAAGAACTAGCTACATAGCCATGACAGACTGTCAACTGGTTACTTGCTCCAGCATTGTGTCTCTGAGATCCACTTTTTCTGGATTTGGAAGATGCATTCTTTTTCTTCCTCTCCATCTCACTAACCAATTTTGTAGGAATATAGAAATATGAGACCAATTTTGTAGTATCCGGGAAATATACTCTATTATAAATTTTTCTGGAAAACTATCTAGAACACACAAATACAAAGACAAAACTTTAAACTCTTAAACTTACACAACATACAACTCACAAACTACAACCCATTTTCTCTCTTTCTCTCACAAAACACCATATGACTTTGGTGGCTTCTCCTTCTCTCTGTTTTTTCTCTCACAATACCGTGAGACTTCCCTCTCTCTATTCCACCACCGTGCACACACTTACAAGTGTGCCACACTTTCCTTCATATTTTCTTTCTTCTCCGTGGTGGGTGTGTAACCCTTTGCTTTCTCTGTTATTTATAACAAACTCCATCCATCTTACACGGTAAAGACTTGCAACGTACAAAAGCTGCTGCCTTGCATGACTTTGCACATCCAAACAAACTGCTTTTCCACTTTTGCAATTATTAAAAAAAGGAAAATGATACTTGAAGAACCATTTTTGACAACATTTAGACACGCGCACACGTGTCAAAATCTGAGTGGTCCATTTTCATTTAATTTTTCCAACTGGACCACTCAGATTTTGATACGTGTGCGCGTGTCTAAATGTTGTCAAAAATGGTTGTTCAAGTGTCATTTTCCTTAAAAAAAACATGTGGGACCCATTAAAATTTATCTAACAGGAAGAAGAGATCCTTGAAACAATCAGTATGAATGAATTTCTTATAAGTAAGAATGGGTATGAAAAAACATTGAATTTTCAAGTATAGATATTGACGTAACAATTTGACATGATAAAGAGAAGCAAGCAAAATGAAAGAATGAGTAAGAAAAATGGCGAATACAAAGGTGTTGTTGGCGTTGCAGATGAGGCAGGATCAGAGGGTGACGCTGCGAAGAACAACGGTCTCACCAGTGGTGGCAAGTCCGTTCTGTGTTGAGTTCTTCCTGATGTGGTCCAAGATGAACACTGTATATAGTAAGTGTGTAATACTATTTCTTTTAGTAGCCTGCTTTATATAGTAAGTGTGTAATATACGTATATTATGGTAATAAAGCTTAAATTTTCTTACGTAGATGAAATATTTAGAATTTTCAAACACGCCATTTGACAATATTATGCTCAAATAAAATTTCACATATAATCGAGAAATATATTGTCGATCAAGATAAGAGAAATTAATCTAGTAAATTATACACTATTTCTATGGTTTAAAATATCCAAAATGATCATAGTAAGTTTTGAATATGGTTTATATGATGAAATTAGTAATAACCGATGGGTATATTTTTAGAAATATGAGAATTTTGGGATGAATTAAGTCTACGATGAAAAAAAGTGGTATTTTTTATGGTACAATATTTCTGTTTGATGGTCAATGAGCTTAAAAAGTTTTTTTCTTTTAGTTTCTAAAATTATCAAAGTGATGATTTTATGGTGT